CCTATCCCCTGTGTGCCTTGCCTCCCACGACTATGAATGAAGGTGTAACTTGTAAGCTTGGAAATAGTGCATCTTGTAGCGCATTTTTGAACTGTTAATTTTCAAGTTTTCTTTGATCTGCTCAATCTACACTATTTTTTAAGTTTTAAATTTTATAATTAAAAATAAAAATATATTTTAAGGCTATCACAAATATTTCCAGTATGAAAACCACATTTCTCGATACTAGTTGAAGGTGTGTTTTACTTTGATTGTTTAGAGCATCGGTTCTATACAAACCGCACCCTTTTTAAATCAAAATAATATTTTCTCGATACTATTTGAAGGTGCATTTTACTTTGATTGTCTAAAGCCTTGACTCTATATAAACCGCACCCTTATTTATATCAAAATAATATTTATGATAAAATTTAGAGGTACGCCTTAATTGTATTGTTTAAGCCAGTGATTTAAAAATCGTCGAGTTAGCACAGACTTGGGCGATTTGATACGGGAATTGGTCACCCCGTGTCGACTCTAACTTGTTTAAGCCAATGGTTTAAAAATCGCCGAATTAGCACAGACTTGGGCGATTCGATACGAGAATCAGTCACCCCCAGTGATTTAAAAATCACCGAGTTAGCACGAACTAGGGCGATTCGATACGAGAATCAGTCCCCCGTGTCGATTCCAGCTCAAAACAACAACCGAGTTAGCACGGACTCGGGCGACTCGATATGAGAATCAGTCACCCCGTGTCATTCCAGCTCAAAACAACCGCCGAGTTAGCCCTAACTCAGGCGATTCGATACGAGAATCAGTCACCCCGTTGATTCCAGCTCAAAACAACCATCGAGTTAGCACAAACTCGGGCGATTCGATACGAGAATCAGTCACCTCGTCAATTCGAGCACAACCGCCCGTGTTTAGACAGGAACTAGGCGACTCGGGCGATTTTGACATACGGGGTAATTACGGCATTGTACAAGTATGGCCACGTGTGCTCTGACAACCGCATGCTTAATTATGCTTTTCAAGCACACGATGAGACATAGTATTGAGGAGAGTTTTATTGACGTAAAACTTCTCTTATTTTTTAAATGTGGGATTTGAAAATGGTAATTAGGCTTGAAAAGATAATACAACATAGCTTTTTATTATAAAAAGTAAGACAACAAGTGGCGTTGTGGTGTAGTTGGTTATCACGTTCGTCTTATACACAAAAATAACATAAAAGTTACCTTATCGTCAAAAAAAAAAAGGTAATACAACAAGTATTTATTGTCAAAAAAATAAATAAAAGGTAATACAACAAGTATAAAAAAAAAAGTTATCTTATTACCAAAAAATAAATAAAAGGTAATACCACAAGTATTTATTATCAAAAAATAAATAAAAGGTAATGCAATAAGTATCATGCTTTTCAAGCACACATTTGAACTGCGATTATCATAAGCTTAAATTAGATATGTGAAGGTAATACAATATAGGCTTGAAATATGTTAGCTCTTTTTTTCTCTCTCATATATGAATGTGTATTGTTAATTATTTTTTTACTTAGGAATAAATGGTCTAATTATATTTATATTTTTAAAACATGCGGTCATTAACATAAATTAAGGAATATTAATTAAAAGATAGGTTTCATACAATGAAGCCATTTGAAATCTCTCTCTCTTTCTACTATTAATCTCTTCCACTAAATTTATTCTAGAAACCTAAAAAATTAGATTTTTGAAAAATAGAAGTGTTATTTCAAAAATTTGTATGCATTCTAATAATTTTTACATTGACAACCAAATCTTGTATTTTATTTATTAATTTATTTGCATAAAATTACGTAATGTAATATTTTTTCTTATACTTATCAATAATATATTTTAAATTAGATGATATTTTGGATTTGTTATTATTTGTATAGTAAAATAATTATAAAATGTAAACCAACAATTTCAATTTCAGTATATAATATTATAGTTAGTTAGATTGTAATAATTTGGGATTTTTTTAGTGGATTAGGGTTTTCGAGATTTTAGTGGCCATTTTTTCATGGATTTTATTTATTTTTTATTGTAGTCCATGAATGATTATATATTTTATCCATGATAATTCCATGATTTTTCTTTTGTGTGATGTAAATGTAATGGTTAACATAAATTCATCACGAGAAAGAACATCTCAATATTCGCATATTGATAAAAAAAAATAAAAATTAATAATATAATACTTCATTTCTTATTAGATTCCTAAAAAACAATATTTATAATGATTTATCTAGATTTTTTATTACTGAATCCAACTGATTCGGTCGATTCTCGATCCAAACCGCCGATTCACCGATCCGAACCTCTGGTTTAAGATACACCTTAATTGGATTGTTTAGACGCCTACAAATTTTAGTCAACATATCATAAAAATATTAAAAGAAAAAGTAAAATAAATTGTGATCATTTATTTTTACATTTTTATTTTTAACCTTGACTTTTGTCGTGTACTTCTGCACGTGTCCACATCTTTTCCCCTCTTTATCCCAGCCGACCTTTATAACCAGAAAGCGAAAGAATGGACCGGCAAATCTGAATCCCAAATAACTTAGTCCCCAAGAAAAGTACACTATTAGCAAAAAAAAAAAGAGGGCCCAAGACTCACACTAGTTTTGTGCGGTCTCCTTACAAAATATATGTTAATGATGTATTTTCAATATAAAATTTTAAAGTTTAATAATCTCAACCATGACAAAGATTTAAAATTTAAAATTTTTATTTAAAAAAATAAAAATCTTATTTTTTGAATTCCGTTCTTCACCTTCTATTTTAACTTTTAGCGGTTGTAACATTTTTTGACATCTATATTAGAGATGGACATCAGATAGACAAGGGACCGCACGATAATAGATGAATCGGCTGACTCACCAAAACCATATCCTAAAAAAATAGAAAATTATTTCATAAGGGTTGGACCGCATTTTTACTTTATGCGGTCTAGAGGTATAAAACATCAATACTAAAGATGGATGCAAATAGATAGTCCATCTTAAAACAAGTGTAATTAACAGTCGAAATGTTATCTTAATATAATTATTATTTTAATTTTAAATTTTTTATTTTTTATTCTCATATTCATAATCTCCATGTTAAAGATGATATATTCTCTAAAAATGAGGATCAAATTATAGTTCTAATATAAATTTATTGTCCATCCCGCATTTCTACAATAAGCGGGTAGGAGGCATGTCCTGGAAAGAAAGGAATTTTATGATGTCAATTTCAGGGGCGTCGTCTATTTTGATGACAAGCCACGGTATACACACATCTTCTCGGAAGGTGAGTGAGCAAACCAGCATCACACTGGCATCCACCACAATAAAATCAATGGCCTGGCCTGGCCTCTAATCTCTGCCTGGTTGTCATTAAACACCAACCCTCTTTCCTCGAACCCCTTTCCGAACCTTCTCTCTCACTCTTCATTTTAAGCCCTGTCTATATATAATGGCGCGCGCCCCCTGCCCCATCATATTCACAACCGCTATCCCCTCTCTCTCTCTCTCTCTAACTCTTACGTATAAAAGTAAAATCTTTGAAGCAATGGCAGGAGGGGTTCTGGAATTCGAGGATTTCTTCCCAATAATGGCTGATAAATTGGGGGAAGAGAAGTTCATGGTGGAGCTTTGCAACGGGTTTAGGCTCTTGATGGATGAAAGCAAGGGCCTGATCACTTTTGAGAGCTTGAAAAGAAACGCTTGCTTTTTGGGCTTGGAGTGCTTGAGCGATGAGGAGATGATGGAGATGGTTAGAGAAGGGGATTCAGATGGCGATGGTGGGCTTAATCAGATGGAGTTTTGTGTGCTGATGGTTAGATTAAGCCCTGCTTTAATGGAGGGCGGCCAGAGATGGCTTGAAGAAGCTTTGTTCCAAGAGTTGGAGGAATTTGTGAGGTAGACTACTTGATGAAAGTTTTTTATTGGGGAAATCCAAATCCTTGTTCTTTGTATTGAAATCAAAGAAGAAATACGAACGCTAATTCCATTGATTAATCTTGAATTGTTTATCTCATTTTCTTTTTTTAGTTTTTCAGTGTGTACAATGTAACAACTGCTCGATTTAACCTTGATTTCCCTATTTAACTTTAATTTGGACCCATATGGACACTAATTTTACGTTTGAGATTATTTTGAATGAAGCTTCACAAGAAAATATCAAACCGAACTGATTCAAATTACTTGCCTGCTAGGATTGTTTATTAAGAGCGCACGGTTTTAGCACAGAATTAGGGTTTTGATCAGCAGTTAAGCATTCTATCGAACTTCTTCAAATAGATTTAAAGCATGCCCAAATCACATTCTTAGAAACCAGGCAAAGGCAGCTCCCACATCTTCGTGTGACTCGCCAATGACTAGCTACCAAATGATCGGTTTGGAGGGGCGAAAAAAATAAAAAATAGAGAACAAAATTAAAAAAATAAAAGGTCGGCCGAATCCAAAAAAAATTCAATGTGGCGAGTGGACCTAATCCGAATATAAGTTGAGACTTGAATGGATCTTCTTCATTCTCAATCTGTCCAACTGACTAAAAATAGGCTTTTTTTTAGAATAGGATGATGAGAGGGAGAGAGGCTTCAGGGTCATTATCACAGACATTTGGTCCATATGAATCCCACTAGCCCAAAAATGATTTTCCCCTTCTTGGAGGACCGGAGATATAGTGCTCTCTACACGGTTTTGGCTTGGTCAGTGTGGTTGGGAACCAAACCCTGACTTGCTTGTTTTCCATCTCTCATTGCGTTTCTTTTTTTCCAGGCAACCCCCATGCACTTGCTCTTTATCCCGTGGTCGATACGGAATTCTACTATTTATTTTTATTTTTTATTTTTTATTTTTTATTTTTTATTTTTCATTTTTTGTTTTTTGTTTTTTGTTTTTTGTTTTTTGTTTTTTGTTTTTTGTTTTTTGTTTTTTGTTTTTTGTTTTTTATTTTTTATTTTTTATTTTTTATTTTTTATTTTTTATTTTGTTATTTTGTATTTTGTATTTTGTATTTTGTATTTTTTATTTTTTATTTTGTAGCAACTCCAATGACCAGAGCAAATGATAATAAGGTTGTAGAAGTAAGGTGTACCTCAAAGATGTAATATAAAAGAAAGTTTTGAAATTAAAAAACATTTCAATTATTCATCTTGACTTGGTAAAAAAAACGTGTATTTTGTAACAAATTATTAAGACTGCTTATTTTTAAGATTTTCAAGTTTTTATAGATATGCTTCATCTGTACTATTTTTAAAATTTTAATTTGATGATTAGGATTTAAGAAGGATTTTCAAGTCATCGAAAGGTTTTCAACACGAGAACTATAATTTTTGGCAAAATCTAGAGATGTACCATACTTGTTGGCACCTTGTACAAACCCCATCAATAATAATATACTTCAGAAATAAGTGAAAGTAAATGACAGTAAGATTTAATGATAATATATTCTAAGAAAAAAAGTAAAAAAAAGAAAAAGGAATCGTATACGCCTTTATAAGGTGTATACACAATGGGTGATGGTTGATTTGTTAGTCCGAATAAAAAAATTAACAAATAAATAAATAAAATCAATAAACAACTTATTCGAATATGTCATTAAATCACAAGAGGGATTTAAAGTTCCATACTAAACCTATAAACCAAGTCATCTGGTAACAAACTACCTTGATAGTCTTCTTTGGTGGATCACATTCACTTTGGATGTATCATTTTCATCATTCTCTATCACCTTTTTACTTGATGGGTTAACCTTTTTTTATAGAGAATCATTTGGTTTGTAACTCTCACATTCATCATCATAGGAGTTGAGATCCAACTATAACTCCCGCCTTAATTCCTGTAAGTGCAGCTAATTAGGATTAACAAGTTGTCATCAAACTGTTAATCCTATGCAATGAGTTAAACTTGTCATTAGTGCTCTAATGATTCACATAATAGGTGTCATCCAAGCATTCCTACAATTTAATAAAATATATTTAGAAATTAAATAAGTTTATAAATCTACAATAAAATAAAATAAAACAGTTCTTACAAAGAATCCAAACACATCACTGGGTTTTGCCTCCAATGATACTAGATTTTCCTTCCAGTGCAACATCTTATAAAAGCTCCAAAATGGATCCAAGTATATGGCATTGCCTAATATCAACCATATGAGATTTCAAATATACTATACAATATGGTTCCTGTACCATTATTGAAAAAAAAATCTCAAGAGAAAAAGAGCCTGATAGACCACATTTCCAGCTCAATTGTTTTGTTATGGAGAAGGTGTCTCTCTAAATTGGCCTGATAGACCACATGTCCAACATGATTGTTTTGTTACGGCAAAGGTGTCTCTCTCTAAATTTGCCTACTTTCTGTCTTTGTATACCTAATGGGATTATCTACAAAGAGACCATTTAACTTTTTGTACATGTAAGTCATAATCGTTTTTGTCTCTCAAGTTTCAAAATGAGCTTTTGTAAAAGTGTCATTGAATAAATTATAAAGTTCCTAAAAATTACTCTTGGATATTACGACTCAGCCCATGCCATCAAATTTGACACCTAACGAGTGAGAATGATTGTAACTTTATGTATGAAAGACAATATCTTGATAAACAATCCCATACCTAATGGGAGGGAGAAGTGACTTTCTTGTCGATTTTCTTTCATCAGACTCTCTCTCAACCCTCAATTTTCTATTTATTGGTCGTATTTTAAATTAAACTCTAAAGAAGATCTTTCTCTCCCTCTCTCTCCTATTTCCTGTTTCCTATTGTTAGTGTTAGTTTCTCTCTCATATTTATTTTTCTATTTCTTGGTCGTATTTTAAATTAAACTCTAAAGAAGATCTCTCTCTCTCTCCTGTTTCCTGTTTTCTATTGTTAGTGTTAGTTTCTCTCATAGTTTATTTACATAATCTGCTGCGTATTATTGTGGTCGAGGCTTCGATTTTGTAATCACTATCACAAGGCTTAATTCTTTCTTCAAAAAGGAATTCAAGGGAACCAAATGGCAAGCTGTTTGATTCTTTTCGTTTAAATTTGTTTCTAATTCTTTCCATTCTTTATATTGAGCTTTTTAGACTTGGTGATAGTCGGTTTGGCTTTCTCTCTAATGCCAAAATTGTGTTTTTCTTTTGGCCATTGTTATCTTGGTTTGCTTTAATTCGCTGAACACGCTGAATTTGTGATCTTAGAGAACTATTAAGTTCCTTTACCTCTTTATGATGAATTTAAAACTTAGGTTTTTCTCTGACTCGAAATTTAGTTCATATTTTAGATTGGTTAGGAATTCATGGGTTGGTTTGAACCAGCTTTTCGGGACTCAATTAAGTCCACTCGGATGCAGCCGTGTTACTCGGCAGGCTATTGGGATCGGTTGTGGGAAAATACAGCAAGGGGTGTGTATGATTTGCCGCTATTATGCATCTAAATTAACATAAACAAACAATAGTTCAACCACAAATGTGCAACACACGGAAAATGGTTGCAAAACTTTACTTACTAATTTGGAAAGATTACAAGATGAAATCGAGTTCAAAACATCAAATTCCAACAACCCGGCACTTTCTCTCTTTAAAGAGTATCCAAAACAGAGCATCAAGAACACCCAAAAATGGGTTCTCTTTGATACTCTCTCTCTACAAAATGAGGCAAAATAGGGCGCAGTCACCCTACCCTACATGAGCTCTCTCCTCTTTTTCTTTTTCTCATTCTAAACCAAAGAGGAAAGGCTTCTTTAAACATGGGGACGCTAAATGTAACCCACCCCTTGGACTAAAAGACAATCCATTGGCCTAAAATAAAGGAGAAAAGTCAATAGAAAAAATAAACAAATGAAGCCCAAAGCTCATATTTGTGATTTGGCTTCATACATATAACATAGGCGAGTCGAGTCATGGTTGCGTCTAATGTATACTAATGGTGATTTCGATAAAAATATTTTGACAAATATTGATTAATTTTTTTTACTCATAAGCTTATATACTACTTTTTTTCATCCAAATCCAAATCAATCTATATTCGATTGATTTGGATCAAAACTTATGATTCAAGGATTTATTTATCAAAATTTTTTTTTTTTTTGGATAAATCAATGGGTGAGAAGGCCCTCTACCCGTTTTTCATTAATAAAAAATAAAGAGGTTACAGCTCAATACTTCACAACCCTAGAGTAGGGCAGTTGTGCCAAGTCAAATACAGTAACTATAATAAAATCTGATGGACAAAAGCGCCAAACTGTAGCCTCAGAATGGGATGTGACTTTTTTAACAAGAATATCAGCTACAGAAGTCCCCTCACAAGGATGTGGGTAATGGATCAGATACGATTAGAGAACCTAGACCTACAATTGGCTGTTGTTATGTGTGGAAGCTCTAAACATCAAGATTTACATGGTTCGTCACATATGTGACTACATCCACAAGCGAAGACGATCGATGATTTTCACTAAATCAAAGAAAGAAAATTACAAAGCAACTTACTTGAGAGAACCAGATATTCAGTCTCCTACAAAGCCTTACAAAGCCTTCTTCTCTGTAAAAACTCCAAAAGTTTCGTTCTATTTTCTATGGATCTTCTTCTCTATGTAAATAACCCCATATATAGAAAAATCAAATCATCCAAAGGGGTCGTATGGGGCTCTATCTTTTTCCATTACTTTTGGGTACATAAGTTTACCTTTATCTAGTATGGACTCTCATGTCTATCCTAACATAATTAAAACTAACCCAAAAATATAAGGGTGCGGTTTCAATTAAGGCACACCTCAAACTTTTATCATAACATGTAATTTTGTTGTAAAAAATTCTTAAGATTATCTTAAAATCTATATTCATATCTAATTATAAAATTTTAAAATCTAAAAATGGTTAAAATCAAGTAGATCTATAAATATATGAAAATCTTGAAAATGGACGGTCTAGATAATGTGTTGCAAGATGCACTATTTATGGGGCTCAAAAACTTTATTTTTTTCATATTCATACATCTCGATATCGAGATGATCGATTAGAGGGTTTTTCAACATTCAAACAACATTTTCGATAGATTTTTGAGGTGCATCTGTGATTCTACATTTTTAAGTTGCAACCTTATATAAACTTTTCCCAAAA